ACATATATATATATATATAATAGTAGCGTATTAATAAAGTTTTGCTTCAGAGAAGTACTTTTGCGTGAATAATATTAAATATCTTAGTAAATAAGGAAGATCTGAGAAAACTGAGGTATAAAATAAAAAAGAAAATAATATGTTTGGAAAGAATTATTGCATTGATGTGAATTTTTAAGGATAATCACGATGTTTACAAATATCGTTTATCCGTTCTGAATAAGAGAAATAAGAACTTTACTTCAACTCAAGCCGCCCATTTCTGTTTTTGAAATAATGGAATAGCAGTCACATTTCCTTCGTTTAGAAGACTTCAGGTATCTTGTTTCTCTAAATAAAATGTAACTGTAATCGGAATCTTTTAAAATTATTCTCGCGAATGGTGATTAAATTTCATTGCAAGGAAAACGAAAAAAGGATAAAGAGTTAAAGGCACGTCATTTTAAATTTTTATTATTCATGAAACTTTAATGCATTTGTTCCGAGAATGTTAAATGGCGTTTCATTTTATTTTATATTTGCTATGTTCTGTGTAAGATTCCGAAACTTGAAACATCAACAGATTTAGATTTTTATTTGCTTTTGGAATTGCAAAATGCTTTTTCTTTGGATGTTTATTCTCATTAAAAATGAATTAAATGATATTTTAACCAATTCAGAAAGTTTACTGGTGTGAAACGCATGAATATTTCTTAACACTTCTGAAGCTACCATTTACAAAGTCAAGCAGCTACGCGTTTCGGAAGGACCATCTCTTCCTTCATCAAGTAGTTAAAGAATGACAATGATAATAAATGGAAGGTATGAGTGGATCAAAAAAATTATTCCGAACTAATTCTTGTGCAGTCTTTCACTGTCATTTTCAGCTGTCTGGTGGAAGAAAATCTGAAACCCTTCTTTCTAAAATCTGTTGTTGTTTTATTCCGTCATTGGAATATTACTAGTTAATAAAAGATTTTAATTTATGAACCTTTTTCAAGGTTTATGACTAATGCCCTTGCTTAGACTAAATATAATTACCATTCTGTAAAAAATTCCTGTAAAACTCGTTTTTGCGATAAAATATTATTACATACAGTAAAATTTACAGTAATATGTATTTAATTATAGAGTTTTTATAATTTTATGATAATTATTACTGTCAAAATTACAGTAGATTAGATTTATTGTTCTGTCAGATGCTCGGGTAAAAATCAATTTTTCCGGCAAAACGTACCAATACACTGAATGCTGAATCACTTTTTTGAAGTATGTATCACAAAGATAATTTAGTTTATTTGAAATATTAATTTATATTTTCTTTTCCAGGTTATGGAAATATTGCTCCACGGACCAATTGGGGAAAAATTGCTACTATTGTATATGCCATCTTTGGAATACCCCTGATGCTGTTATACCTCACCAACATAGGAGACATTTTAGCCAAATCTTTCCGGTACTGCTATGGACGACTTTGCAGCTGTAGTTCAAACGATCCTTATAAGCGTAGGCGCCACAACAACCACCATCCAACAGAAAACTATAGGGTGCACCACATAGTAGCTCATAACTCTCCAAATCGCCATCATTCTAACGCAGAACCTGGAATACAGGACAAGTTGCATTTGCCCACTGATGATGAAGTTCAGATTGAGAACATGCCCGATTTAGAACTGGACCTGGATTACGAGAGGCCGCGAGTGTCTGTTCCAATCACGTTATGCCTACTTATATTGGTCAGTTATATTTCCGGCGGGGCAGTTTTATTTTCCCTTTGGGAGGGTTGGGGATTCTTAGATGGTTCTTACTTTTGTTTTGTGACTCTCAGCACAATCGGTTTCGGTGATCTTGTCCCAGGAGATTCAGTTGTGTCCGATGAAGGTTCTCAAGAAAAACTAGTGATATGTTCCCTTTATCTTTTATGTGGTATGGCTTTGATAGCTATGTGTTTTAATTTAATGCAGGAAGAAGTCATACATAAAGTTAGAAACTGTGGGAGAAGCATTGGCGTCATTAAGGATCAAGAAGAGGAAGATGATATGGGATGATATCAGACTTATTTTATAAAATGATAAAAGTTTAATGAAGTCTTAAAAAGCGGAGCTAATGAAATCAGGATTATTTACCTTAGCAGAAATGAACGACGCAGGTTGTCGTTAAACAGACAAATTGTTCTCGGCACTGTTAGTTTCTCAAGTTTCAAATATTGAATACTTCCTTAGAGAAGGTAACTATGATGAAATGATCAAAACTATAGATTTATCAATCCAAAATATATGGTATTTGTTGATTACATGATTATAAAAGAGTTTTATATGAGTAAAGAGTTTTTATATACATAAAGTAGACATTTTTATCAAATTATAAATTTTGTTTAATTGCTATTTTTCAATATGAATTGCTTTTTCCTCATAATTCAAGAGCAGTTTTAATTGAGCTTTGCTAACAAAACACTAGGAATAATATTATAAAAAAATTAAAACTGAAAACACAGATTTTATTTATATTTCAGTTTTATCTACTATCATCATTTTAATGCTTTTTGTAATGTATCCCAGAAGTACCATTAAAAATAATGCCTCAAAACTACTTAGATGATTATTGTCTAATTTTATTGGGGTGTTATAATTTACCATATAATTTTATCAAGATTGTTAGCAAACATGTATGTCATAATGTATATTGTCCCACATTCAAATTTCTGTCCGATCCTTGGCAATTTATATTCTGCCACATTGATAAAAAAAACCGCCCGCAGTTAATTGAACAGTTGGATAGATTTAGAAACACGTTGAATTTCTTTTCAAATAATAACCTGTATCACATCTTAAATTTCCAACAACTTTTTCAAGGAAATTTTTGTGAATAGTAATTTATGGTCGGTTATGAATACAATGTAAATTAAAAAAGATCGTGTTCAAAATTTCAAAAAATAAATGTTTACTGTATTAAAAAAATATATATTTTGCAAATGTTCCTTTTTCTTTTTAAAATTTTGATCTAAGAATTGAATTATTTATTTATAAAATGAATTCACCCTCATTTAAAAATTTTTTTAAAATTCTAAAGACTCAGAAGGATGTTCTAAAAAACACTTTAAAAATAGCGAAAGAAGGAGAGCAGAAAATAAGAAACTGAATAATGTTATTAAATTTTGCCCTATATTTTTTGATTACTTTTTTTGTTCAAGCGCTTAAAGTTGGAAAAAACCATGCAGAAATTAGTGACAGAAAAATGCATATAATTATGATAAATAAAAGCTTGTAAACAAAATTAATTTGACTTTTTTTCCCTCTTTTTAATACTTTTTATCTTAAATTTATGCTTCTTTGTTTACATAAGAGAAAGTATTTAATAATTTGTAAGGGTTTGCATAATATTTTACAAACCCTGTAAATTTTCGTCATTTAACAATTTGTTCAAATTTCTTTTACAATCTCTTTTTTCAAAATTTCTTTGAAATTGAAATTATTTTGAAAATTTGAAAGTCTCTTTTTCAAGAAAAGGCGTGATGTCATAAATAAACCGATTAAAAATCACATTTGATAAAAACTCATAAACATGCTTTAATTTCAACTATTAAGACTAAACACGATATATTTTAATTATTTTTCTTTTTTTTTTATCAAATTGGTAAAAAATTAGGGACAGTGTGTTTTAAGTCACACTTTTTTTTCAAGAAAACAACACATTAGTTGTTCTACTTCCATCTTAAGCATGGCATCAAAAACCAGACCGAAAATGAAAGCATTGATTGAGATTGAATTTGTTCAATTGTTTATAGATTCTATTGCACGGTCCAACCAAATACCAAATCAAAACTGAGCAACTTGATTTAAAAAAAAAACTTAAAAGAATTTTGTTAAGATATTATTTTCCAAAAATTCGAGTTCAATGTTATCATATACATTTTACGCTCAATAATTGATAATTAGTGTAGTTATGAATTAAAAAATGTCTTAGTTTATGCGATTTATTTATTACTATTTATATCTAAATAACATCTTACCTGCGAATTGTTTTAGTTGTTGATGAAGGTCAGGGTTATCATTTTCAGTCATCTTTTTTGAGCAACTTTCACAAAAGATACATTAAAGGAAAGGAATTTTTTAAAATTATTACAAGAAAAGATGCTCACGGCAAAACTTTCGTCTAAGCCCACATGTAATGTCATATTGCAATATTTTGATTTAATTTATTAATTTTAATGCATTATGAAACTGAATTAAGACTGAAAAACTAAAATTCAGTGTTGTCCGAAAACTATAAAGTAAATTTTTATTGAAATCTTATCTCAAAACTCGATATTGGACTTTCATAATTATTATTACAATTACTACCCGTGTTTTATATAAGATTTTAAATACTAAACAATTTAGTATCTTTATTAATGAAAACAAACTAACGTAGAGGTCCTTGCAATAAATCCAGAAATTCTCTGAATCTTGATGAAATAGATGGAAACAGAGAGCAACGCTATTTCAATGTTACCCCAGAAAATGTGATTTCTGGTCTTATGAAATTTGTTACCCGGTTGAAGGAATAAAAGAGTGTTTTGGAAAAAAAACTTGTTTTTGTTTTCCTTTCTCGTATTAATTTATTTCTCAGCATTTTATTAATTTGTTCATAACCTGTGTTTTATGCTTGAGACGTTAAAGAATTTTGTTATTACCGAAACTTTTTTTACTCACTGTGAAATAATTTGTTAATAGTTTTCCAATTTATACTAAGATTTACTTCATGCATAAATTGGAAATTTAAACGGGTGTAATAGTTTCCGAGCTGCTGCAAAAAACCTGCATTAAAACCTAGAGTTTTTAAACGTACACTGTAAAATATCTGGACCAAATTACGATAAAATGTACCGGTATCCAGGATACCGATAATTTTTACTGTAAAATTCTATGAAGCAAAAAATAGGATAAACCGTTTCTTTCTTCACAGTAATTTATTATAAAATTACTGAATCAAGGTAGTTAAATAATTGTTGGTGTGAAATATATGGTAAAAATGGAATTTGCGGTGAAATTGATTTTGAGGAAGATCGGGTAAATGGGTCCGGTACTTTTTGCCTCAATTTGATTAGGAATTTCTTAAGGTTTATTTGCATTCTAACACATGTCGATGGAATAGTCATTAATAGGGATTACCATCACGAAATTTTAATGCTATGTTGCTTAGTTACTACAGATACTCCTACATAAATTTGTAAACAAAATAAATTAGTTTAGAAAGAAACGTTAAAGAATAGTTTTACCCCCTCAAAATTATTTACTTTTAAGTAAATATATGATGTGGTATTGAGTGATCGAAATACTTCAGAAGCAAATAAATATTATTAAACTGAGTCAATACGAATATTTATTTACAGTTTATAGCTTCGATTTTTTTTTCTATTTCAAAATTATAGGATATTTACTTTAAGATATCAAAATATAAGACAGTGACGTTAGTATATTACACGCAGAAAAAATTTCGGTATAATTTCCGTACAGTCTGATTTTCTTTAATGGTTTATCTGAAATTTCAGTTTTCAAAATTTTAGTCCACATTAGCAAAACAATACAAAATTTAAAGTAAATTTAGCAAAATAAGAAGTTGTTTTTATGCCGTGTTTAAATGTCTCAAGATAACAAAGCTATAACCAAATTTCAACACACATCATAAGGCAAAGCATATTTTATTGTAAAGTTTACCAAAATTAGTACTAAAGCACTTCGATAGAAATTACAGAGCTTTTTGAGCTGTCCATAAAACCAGAAAATGGTAAATTTCACCATATCCTGTTAGTTTTGACCACAGTGTCTCAGTGTGTAACTTTAAGAAGTTACTTTTACGAACAAATGTGGTAATTGTTTAAGTTAACAAATAAAACTGTTTAAGTTGACAAATAAGTAACTGTGTTTGCAATTAAGGTAAAACAGTAGTAAAAAGAACATACAACAAGAAAGTTATCATCAAAGTATAAATTTTGGCTTAAAAGGTGCGCTAAGGCTGAGTGAGAACCGTAATGCTAATTACCTTTATTATATTATTATTATAATAGTTAAATAAAAACAAACAATTAAAATATTTTTATTTATTATATTTAAGTCTAATAAATTATTGTCATAAAGATTCATTAAAGCCCGGTTGAAAGTTAAGATATATACTACTTAAATAACTTGGACGCAGCTTTTAATATTAGTTCAAAAAGGCAAAACATATTTAGAAAATATTTTTATCATATGTTTTGAAGCCGGGATTGCCTGGTTGGTAGGGTGCTGGACTTACGTTCGTGAGAATGGGAGTTCAAGTATAACCGGCTGAAGACTTATTGTGTAATAAATTGTGATTGATGCACGTTGAATCTGTAGAGTTAAAAAGTCCTCCATACTTCCATAGCAAATTATACCTCTGTTGGTACTGAATTGGAGATTGATCAGTCTCTGTTTCTGGTCAAAATTACGATCTGTAGATGAATAAATTGACTTTTGAAAGGGTTCACCCTATAAATGGGTGTGACAGAAATAGAATTCTTGGCCATAGATGTTGCCACTGGAAAACAAGAACAATCGCACCCCTTGTCTTAATGGCCAGCGAAAAAAGCTATATGTTTTCGGTTCCACACATTTTCCTGATGATTTTCCACTTCTTTTAACTCCACAACATTTTGACTCCGATTTTATGATTTCTTTACAGTTAAAAGTGTTATAACTCAACAATACATAAACTTTTTTTCCACTATTTTCTAAGAAGAGTGTAGAAGAAGGATTATCAAAACGAAAACTATTTTATAAATTTAATCAGTGCTTGATGGAAAGAATATGCTATCTCAAATTACGCCGTCTCAACTAGGCATCCAAACTTGAACAATTATAAGTTTTATGATTGATTTAATAACCTATTGTTAAGAATTGAAAAAAAAATGCCTCTCTGGTTTATAATATGTTTTACAAATACAGAGGTAACATCTACTTGTAAAGCCCGATTGAACTCTTGAAAATAGAGATTTGTTGCAAGGTAGGTTGGCACTTGTTGCATTGTACACATATTTGCTTGAGCAGTACAATCATAAAATAAAGAACTCACAAAATCGCAATCAATCATGTATCATAAATGAATGTTAGCTTTGCAATTGCCTTCGTTCCATACCACACACGTGCACCATTGTTTTTTCTATAAGAGAACACACACTCATTTGTTTTGTATTCGTGTTTCACGTCTTCAGCATTCACTCATCATTCACGTTTAAAAAAATTGAATATAGAAATAAATTTATGGAATGCAGTGTGTTTGCTTTAAAGGATTAAAATGATTTAAAGACCTACAAAAATGCAGAATATATAGAATTTTATTTATAGAAGATTGCTAAAAAATTTCCATAATTGGAGGTGTTTGTCTAGAGGAAGTGCCCGCGTAGTGAGCTTCCCATTATTTTCATTAATCTAACTTTCAGCATTAATATTATTCTGGGATGAAATAATAAATTATTTAAAAGAAATGATATTGCTTGCTTATCAATTTAAACATTAAAGCAGCCATATGTATATATGATGAACTTAATAGTTATTCATCAATCGTGCGTGATTAGATTGAATCCAATAGTCAAATAGTTTCTGTTCTCTCGCTTGTCATCTCTAAAAAACATTGCTGTTAACTAATGCTTTATCATCAGAACTATTAAAAGAAATGAATGAAATTTGTGTATTTTTATAATATTTAAAATATTTATCACTCATTATTTACTTTTTTTTTTAAAAAAAAAAGACGATGAGTGAATGATTGAATGATGTTTTTCAGAAACGAAAATATTAATTTAGATTTCTAAGAAGCATATAAAAATTTTTTATCCAAGTTGTATGCTTTTCTTTATATTTTTTTGTAACAAGC